GGAAAGAGGCTCAGGTCTCAAAGTTATAAGAAAAAAAAGAATTAACTAAAAGTATAGCCAAAATAAGACAAGAAGGCAACTTTCTGTTCTCAAGTCAGTCAGGTTGAACAGGCAAGAACCAGCTGCTAATACTTATTAGCTCCCCAAGGACACCAGCCCTAGGGAGGCCAATCAACATTAAAGACCCCAGGGTGACAACCTTAAGGATCTGGTTACAAGGCCGAAAATTTTCCCTTTGGCTCCACAAGCCATAGTCAGGCTCAGCGGTACCCACTGTGTACCCTTTGTTCATCTTAACACACACACACACATACACACACACACACACACACACAAATCACACCTAGAGGGAGGGACTTAACATGCTGATAAGACGTGTGACACATGAAGAAGTGTGTGGCCACACTGCACAGATGCCAGGAAACTTTCACCTTTACATATGTAAACATAGTTCTCTAGCTGCCTAGCTCCTTATAAAACCCTGCCCAGGCCTCCCTTGGCCAACCACCTGTCTCTTTCCTTTCACGGTACTGGGTTCCTCGTGCACAAGTTCAATAAAACTTTTTATCTACTTTGGTATTTGGTGATCTCTCTTGACTTCCATCCTAAGAGACTGCAAGAACCCAGGGCATCAGTAACAAAAAGACCTTTATTTTTCCTGGTAAGCTCCAGTTTCCTTTTAGGGACCCATCGAAGGATGGAAAAAAGCAGAAGATAAAGGATGAGAGACCTTCTTATTCAGTCACCCTATCCCAAGCCTCCTTTCAGTTTGTTCAAACTAAGAGTGTCTTTTGGTTACTTCACACTCTTGCATCCACTTGGCTAAATACAGTAGATATTTAAAGAACTGACTTGTGAGTTGAGGGTGTTTCCTGGGAGGAGACAGGCAGGGTCCAAGAGAAGGATCCAAGAGATGTAAAATGGAGCCATGAGTAGGGTGACCATCAAACCCAGTTTTCTTAGGACAGGTCCAGTTTATACCTGTTGTCCCAGGATAATTATTATAGCACCTCTTTCACTCTGAGATGTGTCATGGTTTGGACATTAAATTATATAGTCACCCTAGCCATGGGTGACTTGGTAGCATGTCTTTTTTTCACAAAATTGCTTTGACTATTCCCCTGGGATAATCAACATTCTGAGATAATCTCATTCTCAAGGTTAACACTTCTAAGGCACAGAGTCTACATCCCAGGAATGTGAAAGAACTGTTTTAACCCTAATCACCTGTGCGCTTACGGTTCAGGATGCTGCCTCAGGCAGACCCACACAGAACTGTTTAAAACTCATCTGGGAAACTTGTTAAAATACAGATTTAGGACCAATTGCCTGAGATTCTGATTCAGCACATCTGAGAATCTATTAAAAAATGAAAAACAAAGCTTCCCAGGTGGTATGGATGCAAAAGCTAGATTTGGACACAGTGATGAGTCATTGTTGCTATGGAGACCGCTGATTAACCCCTCAGCCAAAGTGGATTTTACTTCTTTTTCTCTTTCTTTTTCTTTTTAAGTACACATCTGTTTCAAAAATAGAGGGCATTATTTTTGGAAGAGAAGATTTGTTTTCTCTCTCATGATATTTATATTTAGAGAGGAAAAGTAGAGGTCCCAAAGGGCAGAAACTTTTCTCGTCAGAAACCAGATGCAGCAGGAAGCAGGCATTCCTCACTACTTTAGTCCAACTAGAGGGAAATAAAGAGCAGTTATTCCTGAGCAAGTTTCAGACTGTCTGGAGCTTCTTTCAGGTTTAGTTGTAGGTGCCTGGCTGGAGTCCTGGGCTCGTGGGCTTCCCCAGGTACTCAGAGGAGCTGGTGGTGACTGGCCAAAATGGTATCAAGAGACTGGAGGCTCCAGCTTGATGCAGACCTGGAGAAGGATGGCCCTACAAAATTATTGTCAGAATAAAATTTACACACATGTGGTTGAGTGGCCAGGTGATGGATATCGAGCCAACCTGATAAATATACCATATTTATGTTCTGTGACTGAGCTGAGTAAAGTGCAGTAACCCCTCTTCCTTCAAGCTTCAGAAGCAGAGTAGATGCGGTGGACAGAGGAATGAGGGAAGGTCTGTATAGCTTTAAGTTGTAAAGCTGGCCTGATGAATTCAGAATTTAGCAATTCTGAGTTCTCTTCTTTCAGCTTAAAAATAAGAGCATAATATGGTTGCATCTCAAACAGAAGGAATCAAACAGAAGGAATCTTGGAATCTACTGCTCTTTGTAAATCCTGATATATCTCCTCAGGATACCAAAGCGGAATGTCTTCTCTGTAGATATAAAAGGGGCCACATAAAAACAGCCATTCTTTGGAGGATTTTCTCAATCCATTGAGATTTTGCTTCCCAGCAACTGTTACCAGTTTGGCTCAAATTAACTCATAAAAATTCTCTACAGGTTTGTACATTTCTTATGTTGACATCTCCAAAGATACTCACTGGGTCCCATCACCCTGGCAGCAGCTATTGTACTAAGGTGGGCAAGTCCCCTCCAGGTACCAGCTGTATGAATTTCTGCGTTACAGAAGAAGCTGGTCCTTCTCCGAAATAGGAATCATCCCTCTTTGTTCTCCTCTCTCTCCCAGCCTTTGTCTGTAGAACTTGAAATCAAGTGGAAGGTGATTTTCAAACACGAACTGAGCCCTGGGTGCTAACTTTTTCTGCCCAAATTGCTCCTAATGTGCTTTTCCCTGGTTCAGGGCATAGAAAATCCAGCTTGGTTTCCTGATCCAGCTGGTGGTGGTCAGCACCCTCCATCACACCATCCACTTGAAGCCCATGGAGCATTAATTGCCCTCTTCCAAATCCTTTCACAGCTCTACCCCCTCCTTCCTAAGAATCTTTGATACAGGACATCACTTGTAAAATTCTTAATCTTTTAGCAGGAAATGATAGGAGACATGTCTTGCAGAGTTCTTAATCTTTTTAGTAAACCTAGTTAAGCTTTCTTTCCTCCTTTCTTCAGAGAAAAGGCCTTCTCTCTTAAATCCTGATAATTGCCCCAACACTGGAAATTCATATCCTCTGGCTATTGATAAGGGTCATCTGCTCATTATTAGCAGAAATGGTGTTAAGGCCAGACAGGGCCCTTAAAGTCTGAGAGGGGTGGGGACTTTAGGCCAAAGGTCTTTTTTTACTCTTTAAAAAATATATTAACCAAGCCTATTTCCCTTTACTCACTTAATAAGCAAATCAATAATAGAAATTAATAGATATATGATTTAAATAACAAGTTCGTATCTTCTTTTCCTTGTCGAGGGACTGAGGCAGCACTTCAGCAAG